TAAGAGGTTGGTAGAATTTGACACACAGCATGAGAAACTTTATTCAGCCTATTTAGTAATGAAGTCTAAAACTATAAAAAATTTGAATGTTTTCAGATTTCTTCATTAACTTTTCCTTTTTTTCATTTCAGTGTAATACACTAAGCCGAGTGGAACCGACAACGTGATTGGCAGAAGCTGGAGGTTATTTCAGAAGAAAAATTATCTAAACCTTTACAGCAAGCCACCACTGGAAATATCACACTGAGCCAGCTAGGTCTTTGACCTGACTCAAAGTCCCAGAGTTTATTTTGTGCTCTTTATTGTGTTTATTAAAATAATTAAATATTTTTATTTGCAGTTCTGGATTAAATCTATTTGTCTGCCTTTTGTTTAAGACTAACATTGCATTTAGTTATGTTAAAAGTGATTTTCTCCTAAAAATTCTGAATACTCAGCTGAGATTAGGTTTTACTGGACTCATTGCCCGAGTGAATACAAGTGAATGTATTGGCTACATCTTCTTTGAAAATGAGGCCCTAAATCTTTTTTCCTACTTCTGTCTACGCAGAAAATAATGAAATTGTTGGACCCACCATCCCAGGCAGACTGGAAAAAAGATTGGCTTTCTGCAAGCAGATTTTCTGTTTCTATTTCTACATAGTTTCTTACTGAACACAAAAATTCAGAAAACTTTTCCACAGCACAGACACATACACACACACACAAAAGAATACAACATTTCCCTGAAAGACAATGCAATTTTTATCCTGATATTGGACCAGAGTTATGAAGTCCTGAGAAAAAACCCATGTTGGTGACGTATTTTCACATAACAAATCCCGAAATAACTTTTGGAAGGCAAATATAATGCACATTAAATGAAAAAAATAGTTCGCTTCTTATGCTATTTCAGCAAACCAACATCAATAAAATTTGAGCTGGACTCTTTACAGACCTGCACATGTTGACAACTCAGGTGATACTTTTCAATCAGAGTATTTTTTGACAAGGTTTGTTTCCTTCAGGAGCGGAAGGTAGATGAAGATAAAAAGGTAGGACGTTATCTTTTGAAGCATATGTCCAACAACCTAACAACACTGTAAATTTCCAGTCTATTTTTTTTCTATATTTTCAATGTTAATTTTAAGTAATCAAATCTCTGATAAACTGGTGCTTTAACAGCACTTTCACTCCTGCAGTGAGTAATGTAACTATTTTCTCTGCTTTCATGCTGGATATAAAATAATGAGAACATAAAAGAGACAACAAAGAGTGATTCAGTTTTGCTTTCTAATGTCTTAAGCAATAAATCTGATGCTGTATATGGTATTTATAAAGATCTTTAGAATTTTACTGGGAAAATTCCTTCTTCCCCTCCATTTTTTGAGAGGAGTTGCATAAGGTAATGGCTCATTCATTTACTTGATGTCCTTTACAAGCTCAGTGAAAATAATTCATATAAAAGATATAAATATAAATACCTACATACCTAAGAAAATACAGTATGTGGACCTGACTGAGAAGGACTTCTGTGTAAGATCAACTCACTACAAATGTATGAAAAAGGATGTCATTTACAGGCCGTTGACCTTAATAGCAGTCTTTTCACCAGGTTTAGGGAAGCATCAAAAAAAAATTCCAGAAGAATTTTCAGTTCTCTTAAAACTGAAAAATAGTTCAAATGAGTAATTACTTTTTTTTTCTTTAATTTATCCCTGATATAATTTTATCAATGACTTCAGTGAGGTTATATGAGACACTAATTTTCTCTTGCAATATTAGAAATGGTAGTACAATATCTTTTGGTCTTCCTTCCTTCAGAGACTTAACAGAGTTCTGCTGAAGCAAATAGCAAAGCTTTTGCTCTGTTGCATTTTAAATCATCTCCATTTCAGATATTAAGTAATAAAGTTGGAGGCTGGATGAAAGAAACAATTTTACCTTACACTTGTAATTTACGTTTCCAATTCCATATCATTTGTACATGGGAATGTCTCTAAGCTTACATAAGTGGATATCTACAAGCATTAAGCTTACATGAGTGGATACCTACAAGGCCTTTGAATACAAGGTAGTAGCCTCAAACTACTTTTCCCCCTTTCCTATAGCCTGACAGGAGCCAATAATAATTGTGTTTAGCAAGATGGCTTTGAACTGTCAGAGAAATTCAAAGATAAGCCAAAAAAATCAATCTAAAAACAATTGCTAATAATCCACTGACAATTGTAGCCACTGGTGTGTTCATTACTAGTGATTTCTAGTGTTACATATCTGTCACCCATTGAATAGTATAAATAATGCAACTGGTGAAATTAATTCCAAAATTAATAGCTATTTAGCAGTGTCACATCATCATTTCTTCCTTGATTGACTTCATTTAGTTTCTACCAATTCCTTATCTTACAGAATTTTCAACTCTACATGTTAGCCCTATCTCTTGGTCTGTAAGCAAATTTTGAGGTGCAATTATTGCTGGCTGAAAACTACGAAGAGTCTTATAAAGAAAAGAATATAACCACCACTGCAAAACCCTGACGATTGTAATGTGGGTCTCTGGTTTATGTAAGAAGAGATTTACTCCCACGCTATATTTAGCTCCACCCACCTGAAAATGAGATTCACAAAATCACAGAATGGTAGGGATTGGAAGAGACCTCTGTGGATCATCTGGTCCAACCTCCCGGCCAAAGTAGGGTCACCTACAGCAGGCTGCACAGCACCGCGTCCAGGCTGGTCTTAAATATCTCCAGAGAAGGAGACTCCACAGCCTCCCTGGGCAGCCTGTTCCAGTGCTCCGTCACACTCAGAGTAAATCAGTTCTTCCTCATGTTCAGACAGAAATTCCTATGCTTTAACTTGTGCCCGTAGCCCCTTGTTCTGTCGCTGGGCACCACTGAAAAGAGTCTGGTCCCACCCTCTTGACACCCACACTTAAGATTTCTGTAGGCATTTATGAGGTCCCCTCTCAGCCTTGTCTTCTTCAGGCTGAACAAACTGAACAGCTCCCTCAGCCTTTCCTCATAGGAGAGATGTCCCAGTCCCCTCATCACCTTTGTAGCCCTCCATTGGACTCTCTCCAGTAGCTCCTCATTTTTCTTGAATTGGGGAGCCCAGAACTGGACAGAGTACTCCAGATGCGGCATCACTAGGGCAGAGAAGAGGGGGAGGAGAACCTCCCTCGACCTACTGGCCACTCACTTCTTGATGCATCCCAGGATCCCATTGGCCTTCTTTGCAGCCAGGGCACACTGCTGGCTCATGGTCAGCCTGTCATCCGCCAGGACAACCAGGTCCCTCTCCACACAGCTGTTCTCCAGCAGGTCTGCCCCAAGCCTGTTCTGATGCATGGGGTTGTTCCTCCCCAGGTGCAGGACCCTGCACTTGCCCTTGCTGAACTTCATCAGGTTCCTCTGCGCCCAGCTCTCCAGCCTGTCCATGTCTCGCTAAATGGCAGCACTGCCTTCTGGCTTTTTCTGTATTATTACACTTATAATGCTTGAAGTTTACATTAAGAGAAGTGACTAAGCACTTTTACAGTGCTTTTAAGAATATATTACCTGAAACGCTGTAATTGTGTAAATATACAGGAGCACATATGTCTATCTGCAAAGCACATACCTGCGCTTAAGGACTGAACAGGATCGGGTTTAGAACGCATTCAAGGAGACTGATATGGTCTTAAACATATGCACACACATATTTTTGTGTTTAAGTCCATCTAGCCATAGAAGTAAAGTTTTCCAAATACAGTGTTAAACATAGTATCTAACAGCAAAGATTTGCCAGTACACATACAAGAATATGTGTAGCCAAATAGCTGGTAATTTGTGGTACAACACTCAGAGGCATTTGGCATTTTAATTTTATTTCTGCAAATTCGGTCTACAAAAATACTCTTCATTATTTCTTGGTTTGGTGGTTTGTTGTTTTATTGGTTTTCTGGATCCAATTATTTATTAGTACTAAAAAATTAAAAATTATGACGTTTCTTGGATGATGTCTGTCTAAGTGTTCATGGCCAAGAAAATTATTATAAGTGCCAGCTAGTAGAAAGAGACATCACAAGCTGAACATAAAACAAAACTGAAGCCCATGCTCCATGTCAAGTTCCTTCCTTGATGTTACTTTCAGTGACATAAAACTATCAAAAATGTGAGCAACACAACTATGGACAGTTACCAGAATCCAGAGTTGCTTAACATCCTAGAAGTAAAGACAAATCCTTCAAAACTCTTTTAGTTTGAAACTCTTACACCTTGTCCTGTTGCAACAGGCCCTACAAAAATATACTCATCTTTCTTATATTCCTCCCTTAAGTATTAAAAGGCTGCAATAAGGTCTTTACAGAGCCTTCTCTTCTCCAGGCTGAACAACCCGACTTTCTCAACCTTTCCACATAGGAGAGGTCTTCCATCCCTCTGATCTTTTTTGTGGCCCTGTTTTGGACCTGCTCCAATAGGTCCATGTCTTTCCTGTGCTGAGGACTCCAGTGATGGAAACAGTACCTCAGGTGGGGCCTCATCAGAGCACAGTAGAGTGGCAGAATCATTTCCCTTGACATTCTGGCCACGCTGCTTTTGACGCAGCCAAGGATATGGCTGGTTTTCTGGGTTGTGAGCACACATTGTCAGCTCATGTCCAGCTTTTCATCTGCCAGTACCCTCAAGTCCTTCTCAGTAGGGCTGCTCTCAATCCCTTCAACCTCCATCCTGTACTGGCACTAGGGGCTGCCCCAACCCACATTCAGGATCTTGCACTTGGCCTTGGTGAACCTCATAAGGTTCACACAGGCCTACGTCTTGAGCTTTTCCAGGTCCCTCTGGATGTCATCCTGTCCTTCTGGTGTGTCAACCACACCCCTCAGCTTGGAGTTGTGTGCAAACCTCCTGGGGGTGCACTCGATCCCACTTTCTAAGTCATTGATGAAGACATGAAAGAGCACTGGTCCCAGAATGGACCCCTGAAAAACACCACTTGTTACCCATCTCCACCTGGACATAGAGCCATTGAGACCTATGATGACCACTATGTTGAACATCCAATCAATTACTTATCCATCAAACAGTACATCCATACTGAATGCCTTCTTTGCTTCAGTCTTCAGTGCTAAGACTGGCCCCCAGGAATCCCAGGCCCTGAAGGTAAGAGAAGAAGCCTACAAAGAGGACGACTTTCCCTTGGTCGAGGAGGACTGTGTGAGTGATCGCTTAAGCGATCTGGACGTCCACAAATCCATGGGCCCCAATGGAATGCACCCACGAGTGCTGAGGGAGCTGGCAGATGTCATTGCTGAGCCACTCTCCATCATCTTTGAGAGGTCCTGGAGGACAGGAGAGGTGCCCAAGGACTGGAGAAAGGCCAATGTCACTCCAATCTTCAAAAAAGGGCAAGAAGGAGGACCCAGGGAACTACAGGCCCGTCAGCCTCACCTCCATACTGGGAAAGGTGATGGAGCAGATCCTCCGGGAGGCCATCATCAAGCAAGTGGAAGAAAAGAAGGTTATCAGGAGTAGTCAGCATGGATTCACCAAGGGGAAATCATGCCTGACCAATCTCCTTTCAGAATACTTCGCATTAACTTCGCATTTTTCGACACAGTCTCCCATGATATCCTCCTAGGGAAGCTGAGGAAGTGTGGGCTGGATGAGTGGTCGGTGAAGTGGATAGAGAACTGGCTGAATGGCAGAACTCAGAGGGTTGTCATCAGCGGCGCTGAGTCTAGTTGGAGGCTGGTGACAAGTGGTGTCCCTCAGGGGTCAGTACTGGGCCCAGTCTTGTTTAACTTCTTCATCAACAACCTGGATGAAGAGTTAGAATGTACCCTCAGCAAGTTTGCTGACGACACCAAACGGGGAGGTGTGGTAGATACACCAGAAGGCTGTGCTGCCATTCAGCGTGACCTGGATAGGCTGGAAAGCTGGGCAGAGAGGAACCTGATGAGGTTCAACAAGGGCAAGTGCAGGGTCCTGCACCTGGGGAGGAACAACCTCATGCACCAGTACAGGCTTGGGGTGGACCTGCTGGAGAGCAGCCCTGCGGAGAGGGACCTGGGTGTCCTGGTGGACGACAGGTTAACCATGAGCCAGCAGTGTGCCCTGGCTGCCAAGAAAGCCAATGGGATCCTGGGGTGCATCAAGAAGAGTGTGGCCAGCAGGACAAGGGAGGTTCTCCTTCCCCTCTACACTACCCTGGTGAGGCCTCATCTGGAGTACTGTGTCCAGTTCTGGGCTCCCCAGTTCAAGAAGGATGAAGAGCTACTGGAGAGAGTCCAGCGGAGGGCTACAAGGATGGTGAGGGGACTGGAGCATCTCCACTACGAGGAGAGGTTGAGGGAACTGGGCTTGTTCAGCCTGAAGAAGAGAAGGCTGCGAGGGGACCTTATAAATGCCTACAAATATCTGAAGGGTGGGTGTCAGGAGGATGGGGCCAAGCTCTTTTCAGTGGTGCCCAGTGACAGGACAAGGGGCAATGGGCACAAACTGAGGCACAGGAAGTTCCGTCTGAACATGAGGAGGAACTTCTTCCCTCTGAGGGTGACGGAGCACTGGAACAGGCTGCCCAGGGAGGTTGTGGAGTCTCCTTCTCTGGAGATATTCAAGACCCGCCTGGACAAGGTCCTGTGCAGCCTGCTGTAGGTGACCCTGCTTCGGCAGGGGATTTGGACTAGGTGACCCACAGAGGTCCCTTCCAACCCCTACTAGTCTGTGATTCTGTGAATAGATGACTTCTGTAGCTCTTACTTTGTGCACTGAAACAGCCACTCCATCACAGAATGCCACTAGGTTGGTCAAGCATGACTTGCCCTTGGTGAAGCTATGCTGGCTCTCTTGAATCACCTTCCTGTCCCCCATGTGCTTTAACATGGCTTCTAGGAGGATCTGTTCCACGATCTTCCCAGGCACAGAGGTGATGCTGACACATAGGTAGTTTCCAGGGTTCTCCTTCCTATCCTTTTTAAAAATGAGCATTATGTTCCTTTTATCCAGTCACCAGGGACTTCATCCGGCTGCCACGACTTTTGAAATGCCATGGAGAGTGGCTTGGAAACTACATCAGCCAGTTCCCTCAGGGCTCTGATTTTCAGGACCCACAGAATTATATATGTTCAGGTTCCTCAGGTAGTTTCAAACCTGAGCTTCTCTTATAGTGGGAGAGACTTTGCTCCCCCAGTCCCTGTCTTGCAGTCCATCCACTTGAGGAGCGTAGGAAGAGAGGTTGCCAGTGAAGACTGAGGCAAAAACTTTGCTGAGTGCCTCAGCCTTCATCTTATCCATTGTTACCAGTTTGCCAGACTTGCTCATTAGGGGTGGTATGCATTCTCTGACCTTCCTTTTCTGGCTGATGTATCTGTAGAAGTCCTTCTCACTATTTTTTGCGTCCCTTGCCAAGGTCAGCTCCAGCTGTGCCTTTGCCTTCCTGACCCCAGCCCTACACAACCGAGCAGTATCCCTATACTCTACCCAGGATACCTGTCCCTGCTTCCACTGCCTGTGCATTTCCTTCTTGCCCTTTAGTTTGACCAGCAGGTCTCAACTCAGCCATGCCAGTCTCTTACCTTCCTTTCCTGGTTTCTTACACCTGGGAACTGAGAGCTATTGCACACTATGGAAAGTGTCCTTAATACCGACCAGTTCTGTTCTGCTCCCTTGTCTCTGAGGGTATTTTCCTAGGAGGTTGTATTGACTAGCTCCTTTAAGAGCTCAAAGTTTACTGTCCTAAAATTAGGATCCTGACTTCAGTCTTCACCTGACTCATCCCTCAGGTCTGCAGACTGCATGAGTGCATGATCACTGCAGTTCAGGCTGCCTCCAGTCTTGGCATTACCAATTAGCTCACTTGCGTTGGTGACAAACAGGTCCAATATCACTTTACTTGTGGTAAGCCTGTCTACTACCTGGCTCAAGAAGTTGTCCTCAATGCACTCCAGGAGTCTTCTGAATTGACTACAGTGGTCTTAAGTGATCCAATTTAAAGAAGACATTAGAGTTTCTTTTTTTTGCTGGATTTCATCTTAAAATTTGTTGAGTTCTGTGGTGTATCATGTGCTTTGTCTTTAACTCAAAGAAAAAGTTATTTTAGCATAATTTCATGATATTTATCAATTATCTCATGAGGTTATCTCAGTTGCTGCTATACTCATAAGCATAGAAAGTGCTTTAACATGTCATTGAAACTCTGGTTCCTCAAACCATGAGATGTGATTGGTTTTGTATACTTCTTTCTTCAGAAATAAAGCTTCATTGTACACAATACACACACACACGCATACACATATCTATACAGTTAAGAGTTTTGACAATATTAGATTGCCTACTACTACAGAATTTCTATGAGTACAGAACCTTTAGAGGAATCTAAACAAGCCCTGTGTTCCTGTAAACACGCTGATATCTAGAAAAAAATTTATTTGAGGGGTCTGGAATTTAAAAGCATTTCACAGACTTACAACAGCCACCTCTAAATCACCTGCTGCAGGGAAGAGTCTACAACTGTGCTGTGCTACATGTGGAACAGCAATAACCAACTCCACTCCTCAAGGACTATGAGCAAAAGAACAAGAAAGAATCTCATGGAAAACCACAAGAAACAGAATAGAAACAAAGCTCGCTAGACCTGTCCAAATATTAAGAAAAAAATATTTTATGTGAGTCTTTTAAATTGATACCACAAAATTCTAAATTTCAGGCTTTCACAAGAAGCTGCTGAAACAGAAGTGTGCTTTAAAGCTCAAAGGTTGTAACTCACTACAAAAAAGTGACATGTAAAATATATTGTAATTTCTGCCATGGTGCTTTTTGAACTGCTACCTTCACACAATGAGTGGAATCACAAAACAAAGCTGACAGATTTGTTCTTCAGGGCTTAGGTTTCCACTGTCTAGGATTGTTTTTTGCTGCCCATGTACACAGAGTATGACAGCTATTTGTGTTATACAAATGCTATTTCCTCACGAGTCTGATCTCAATTGCAGGCTAATCATATTGTCCCTTATTATAAAATAAGTGCTTGACTTCCTCATGTTTATATTATGAAGCAAGTTTAAAACACAAGAGAATACTTTGGTAACCTGTTTAAACTTGTCTCAATAGCTTTATTACTTTATTTATTAAATTATTTCAGCAACATGTTAAATGTAAACGTACTTTGTTCAAATTACTTTATATTAAATGCAATGTTTCCTAAAAAACTAATATGTGGAAAAGAAAAAAATTTGAACTACAACAAACACAAATTTCCAGTAATTTTGGTTTTCACTGTAACAGCTGTCCTGTATCTCATTCCCCAAAATTGTCACATTAAACTTCCGTTAGCAGGAAACCGTTCTGATAAAACTTGTAACGTGATAGTTTTACTGTCCACTGCTGTTTGGTCCTTCTTCACGCCTAAAACGCGGTTTCTTCCAAGCGATTTAATGTACAAAAAAGCAGTTCATGTCTGAAGAACCTCTGTCATTCTTCTAAATCATTACCTCTTTGGTTCACATTATCTGTCTCACTTTGAAATTATGTCATGTCCTGTGTTTGATGACTGTGTTAACATTAGTCCCAAAGTACAATATGGTCACGTTACACATATAGCGTTGAAGTACAGTTACGTCACAGTCTCTTCAGTCAAACTACACTAAAACAAACAAGCAAACAAACAAAAAAACATGAATAAATGCATTGTCTTGTTACAGAGTAAGGAAAAAGCCCTTTTTCCTCACAATCCCTAGAAACAAGAAGAGATAAATGAATAGTTAATATTACCATCTGACATTATCAGAGACTGGGTAGGATGGTTTTTTCACACTCCAGGAAACATCGTCATATGCTGAAATGCAATTATTCACAGAACCATCCAAATTTAAGCTCAAGAAATCACAAAAATAATTACTCACCCTGAGATTGCAAGCTGGGAACTCAATCAGAAATTCTCTATCCTGAGATCTGAGAAACACAAAAGCAAAGCTTTCTGTCACCACTGACAATAAATAACTAAACTTTAGCTGTACAGTAAGAAGTGTAAATGATCAATACCACAAATAATTAATATGCATACATATTATAGGAAAATTACTTGGCTTAAACCTTGAATAGTACACTTTGAAAGAAACATGTTTAATGTCAGAAAAGCAGTCCATTGATAGCCTAAGCTTTCAAGTGTGTTCAGTCTTCCTCTCCCTACACCCCAACAGTGTTCTGAGGAAAAATTAATTGTAAGATCTTTCCTGGAACTGAGAATTTGTGAATTTGCATGGAGACCAATAAACTCCAGGGATATCTGGATAGAAGAGGTTGAGACAGTACACTAAAGCGGGTCAAGCTATGACTTAAGCAGTTTATCTGAATGTAAGTATCTCCTTTAGAAAACAAATCACCTTAATGTTCGGAAGATATTTAAAAAAAAAAACAGACTACATTCTAGGATTTTAGTTCCAAGAGTGGAAAATAAAAATAATCAAAATAATAGAATATATACATTTCACATTTGTAAGGGATCAGAATGCTTTGTGACAGCTGATGAAAATGCATCGCAGTAAAAGCCATAGAGATTCTGACTGGGGGTGGATATTTGTAAATCTAGGGATGTGAAAATGGATTTTTTTTTATAAAAGCAGAGGAATAAAACAGAATAGTGCAGAAAATCTCTTTTATGAGCATCATATACAAATGATTTATCATTGAATTAACATTCGTTTCATGGATCTAGATGCATTTTTTTACAATTGCTAAGATTTGTTAAATTTATCAATACTATAACCATGGTTATTTCATTAATAAGGCTTGAGGTTGTCCATTAGCTTAATAAGAACAATCTAAAATTGATTTTCCTGCAGCAAATTAGTTTCCATCTTTTTGTCTGTGAGCATTTTTCTCCTTCTGGAAAAACGTTAATAAAGATTAATGCTCAAAATTTAAAATCAGGCAAATAAATACTAGAAAATACACACAGTAAAAATGTGTCTGTCTGAATAATAGAGAAGAAGGATACATAGAAAATATAACTTATAAATGTAATGTTAAATTTATGTTAGTATTATGCTAACGGTAATTAATATATAAAAGAAGAAGACTAAATGCTATAGTGGTAATCTGCATGCTTTGGAGGAAGTATGTATGGTTCTGTAATCTCAAGATTATTGAAGACTTCCTATTAACAGCTTATCCATTCAGTGCTTGCGGTGTTGCCAAGTTCTAACAATTTTTCC